TAATAATAATGATTAATAATCCTAAATCAACCCAAGTATTAATAACCTAACAATGCTAAGCCCTATACAATGCCCAAATTGCATTCCCAGAGAACAAATATATATAGAGAGAGAGACAGAGACAGAGACAGAGACAGAGAATCACTCAGACCTCTAATTCCCCAGAAGTGCTCATGGAGTTGCCGCAAGCTTCTTCAACTCAGACCTCTAATCCAGCACTTCATTAGAATCACAGTTGAGAATGGAATTAACTTTCTTTTGGCACAACAAATGGAATGTCCTCTAAGTGCAATTCAAAAATCAGGCTTTGACTCAAACATCAAGTTCAACTCCACATGCAATGGGACTTCATGGAATTTTCCACCTAATTTTCAATCCAGGGTGCCTGAATTAAGTTCCCTTCCACCACCAATACCCTTAAGATCAGACCAATTCATCTGGATTCCATCTCAAAATGGGAAATTCTCTCTCAAACACACTATGATATTCCAAACCCAACCTCTCCCTTCTGTTCCCTGGTAACACCTCCTGCGGAACCCAATCTCCATCCCTCGACACATGTTCATTCTTTGGCTTGCTTTCCGAAATCGTCTAACATACATGCAAATCCCTAACCACTGCCCTCTCTGACTTTTCTCTAGTGTCTTCCCTCTAGTGAATCTCGGGACCATCTATTCTCTAGATGCCCCTTCTCATCCCCAATAGGGAGCTTCATTCAATTGCTATGTATATTTCACATTCAGCCTCTCAACTGAATTGACATCGTCCACTGGGCCTTACCATCAAAACAAGCGGCATTCGCAGCATCAATTTACCACATTTGGACTCAACGCAATGAACCAATCTTCAAGGAAGTTTCTTCTTCACAAAACTCTGGTTTATCGAAAATACTCATCTTTGTGAAAGGAAAGCTACTCTCTGAATCATTATCAGACTCAATGATGCCCAGGGTTGTTTGGAGAACATGGGACCTCCCATCATCACTCATTTGTCCTCCCCTTCGACCACCTGATCCACCATCGCCCATTAACGGTCTCTGACTTCAAATGATACATTTGTGGTAACCAGATATTGTGCAGAGCCTCTCAACGGTCAATTTTTGAATGGTTCTTGAGCTTGTGTCTATTCAGAACATGTTGGGGAGCAAAATATATGCTTATATGTTGGGCCTAATTTTCCTCTGGACCACCTTAGTTAAGCTTGTCTTGCATTTGTACAAATTTAATTATTTCCTCAAGGGGGTTATCTACTTTAAACTCCCAGACACCCACTTTACCCCCTATGGAGAATTGAACCATTAATCTTCTACTTTGTAAGGTGAAGAAGTACATTAAGCTACAGCCCTTGACATTCTATATAAACAATGTTCTACCTAAAACTTATTCCATTAGGCTATAGCCCTTGACAATCTACATAAACAATGTTCTACCTAAAACCTATACCAATATGGACATAAAAAGTATCATGAGAAACATGCTTGGCCTTACAACTTATAAGATTTTGGATGATTTTAAAGATGAATTCAGAATAATATGAAAATCGCAAAACCACCTTAACTATCATATATAAATGTAATACCTTGACAAAGTCTAGTGGGATGTATGTATAAGCTTATTGCCAAGGTCCTTGTTCTTAGAATGCGAAATGTTTTGGATGGAATTATCTCGCAGTCACAAAACAGTTTTGTTGGTGGTAGACAGATTTTAGATTCCGTTCTTATCGCAGGAGAATGTGTTGACTCCAGGTTGAAGAGTGAAGTTCCTGGTGTATTATGCAAACTTGATATCGAGAAAGCTTATGATCACGTGAATTGAAAATTTCTTCTTTACTTGCTTCGGAGAATGGGGTTCGGGGATCGATGGATAAAATGGATTGAATCTTGCATCTCATCAGTTATGTTCTTTGTACTTGTGAACGGCTCTCCTGCTAGTTTTTTCCCAAGTTTGCGTGGTTTGAGAGAACGAGATCCTTTGTCGTCTTTTCTATTCCTTATTGTCATGGAGGGATTGAGTAGATTAATGAAAAAGGTAGAGGATCTGGATTACATAAGGGGGTTTACCGTTGGCAGAGATGTCGCTAACCAGATTGAGATATCCCATTTGTTGTTTGCAAATGATACCTTGGTTTTCTGTGATGCAGATGTTTCCCAACTCAGATATTTGAGGTGCATTCTTACATGCTTCCAAGCAATGTCTGGTCTTAAGATTAATGTTGGAAAGAGTGTGCTTGTCCCAATGGGTGATATCTCTGATATTTCCTCCTTATCTGCTGTTCTTAGGTGTGGAGTGGGTGCTTTTCCACTCCCTTATCTGGGATTACCTTTGGGAATTTCCTCTAGGAGAGTGGGGACTTGGGATCCGGTGATTAACAGGTATGAAAAAAGATTGGCGGGATGGAAAAAACAATATCTTTCGAAAAGGGGGAAGGTCACTCTTATTAAGAGCACCCTCTCGTTCCTTCCCACATTTTATTTTTATTTTTATTTTTATTTTATTTTTATTTTTTTTATAAGTAAAATGTATTAAAAGGCGTTCAAAAGGGGAACGCGTCCCAAGTTATACAAAAAACTAAAACTATGATCTTAAGGAGCCCAAAAAGTCCACAATATCCTCAATGGAGGAAAAATCTCTCCCTCAACCCCAACAAAAAAGAGTACAAATAATAGAGAATTTCAACACCCCAATGGAGGACTCATTCCCATCAAAAAATCTTCTATTCCGCTCTTTTCAAATGCTCCACCAAACACAAAAAGGGGTTACCCTCCAGAAGACTCTCGCCTGAGCCCCCACCCATTGGCCCTTCCAAATATCCAGCAATTCCTAAGATGTCCGAGGCATAACCCAATGAATAACAAACAAATCAAAAATGAGACTCCAACAATCATGAGCCACAGGACAATGCAGCAACAAGTGATCCACTGACTCCCCATTCAACTTACAAAGACAACACCGATTAACAATAATATGTCTTCGCTTCCTCAAGTTATCCAAAGTCAAAATCTGGCTCCAAGCTACAGTCCACACGAAAAAGGCCACCCTAAGAGGTGCCTTAGACAACCACACCGTCTTCCACGGGAAGGAAGCACCATGAAAACCAGAAAGGCACACAAAAAAATACCGGACCTGGAACATCCCCTGAGAAGAGTGCACCCAAAACAGGGAGTTAACACCAGTGCCCTCCACCTCCTGTCTGTACAAGAGAGCCAACAAGCCAGTGACATCATCCAACTTCCAATTTTGAAAAGATCGCCAAAATCGCACATCCCAAGATAACCTCCCGTTATCAAAGCGATAGCAGTTAGCAACCATAGCATGTTTGTCAACAGCAATCCTGAACAGCCTTGGAAACAAAAAAGCCAGAGGCCTATCTGCGCACCAGGGATCCTCCCAAAACCGGATAAACCTTCTATCCCGAACTTTGAATCTAACATGTTTTGGAAAACTCGTCCCATCCTTTTCCAATGGCCCTCCACACCCATACTCCACTAGCAGAACTGACTGGCCTAGCTAACCACCCCCCTCTCTCCTCCCCAAAGCGACAGGAAATAGCCTTCTCCATAATCTATGCCTTTCATTGCCGAATCTCTAAAGCCATGTTACCGAGGAGAGCACTGTTAAAGGGGGCTAATCTCCTAATCCTAAGCCCGCCCAACTGAAAAGGCCTGCAAACCTGCTCCCATCTGACAAGATGATACTTAAACTCCTCTCCACGACCCCCCCAAAGGAAGTTTCGTTGTAACATCTCCAAACGGCCAACAACCGAGGCTGGAACTCGAAAGAGCGAAAGAAAATACGTTGGAAGGCTTGACAAGACGCTTTTCACTAACGTAACTTTACCACCCTTGGAGAGAGATTGCTTTTTCCAACCAGCTAATCTTCTTTCGACCCTCTCAATCACCGGGTCCCAACTTCCCACCCTCCTAGCTGAGTCCCCCAGTGGCAAACCCAAATACGAGATAGGGAAACGTTGTGTCCCACAGCCTAAAGCAGTTCCAACCAGCTAATCTTCTTTCGAGCCTCTCAATCACCGGGTCCCAACTTCCCACCCTCCTAGCTGAGTCCCCCAGCGGCAAACCCAAATGCGAGATAGGGAAACGTTGTGTCCCACAGCCTAAAGCAGCGGCCAGAGTGTCCACCTCCTGAACCTCCCCCACAGGGACAAGCACACTTTTGCCCACGTTGACTTTCAAACCAGAGACAGCCTGAAAGCAAACTAAGACACATCTCAGATACCTCAACTAGGACACCTCTGCCTCACAAAAAACAACAGTGTCATCCGCAAAGAGCAAGTGAGAAATCTCCATTTGCTGAACAGAGTCGGGACCGATCTTGAAACCCCTGATAAAACCCAAATCCACCGCCCTTCTCATCAACCTACTAAGAGCCTCCATAACAATAATAAAAAGGAACGGGGAGAGAGGGTCCCCCTGCCTCAGACCGCGAGAGCTACCGAAAAACCCCGCAGGGGACCCATTCACCAACACCGAAAACCTGATAGTGGAAACACATGAAACAATCCATTTCCTCCATCTCTCACCAAAACCCATCCTCTCCAACAAGTAGAACAGGAAATTCCAGCAGACATGATCATAAGCTTTCTCGATATCCAACTTACATAGAACCCCAGGAACCCCACTACACAATCGAGAATCCACACATTCACTGGCAATAAAAGCGGAATCCAGGATCTGTCTACCCCCAATGAAAGCATTCTGAGACTCAGAAATAACTCCATCCAAGATCTCCCTCAAACAGAATGCAAGGACTTTTGCGATGAGCTTGTAAATGCATCCAATCAAACTGATTGGTCGAAAATCCTTAATGTGAGAAGTACCACCCTTCTTAGGAATAAGAGTAATAAAAGATGCGTTCAGTGATTTCTCAAACCTCCCCGTGGAATGAAACTCATGAAAAGTGCCCATCACCTCGTACCGGACCACCTCCCAGCTCTCCAACAGAAATCTCATAGTAAAGCCGTCCGGGCCTGGAGCCTTATCACCATTAACAGCTCTTAAGGGCCTTCAGCACCTCTTCCTCCGAAAAAGGATTTTCCAACCCATCTCTTTCCAATGTAGAAATAGAATCAAAGTGAAGATCATCAAGACGCGGCCTCCATCGAAGAGGCTCAGAATAGAGCTTTTGGTAGAAAGAGACAATACCGCTACGCACCTCCTCCTCCGTAGTCAAAACTGCATCATCCACACACACCCGCCTAATGTGATTATTCTTCCTATGAGCATTAGCGGTTCTATGAAAAAACTTGGTATTCTGGTCTCCATTTTTGAGCTATAAGGCCCGAGATTTCTGACGCCACGAAATTTCCTCCAAAACTGCAATCTCCACACATTCTGCTTGACAAGCTGCTCTCCTACTGTGTTGGGATTCAGAAAGAACACACTCCCCTTCCAGTCTATCGATCTCGGCAATATCAGCCAAAGCCCTATTCTTTCTCCACTCCAAGCTCCCAAAAACCTCCTTATTCCACCTTTTAAGATTATTTTTCAGAATATGAAGCTTTCCTGCAAGAATAAAACTCGACGTACCCACCACCAGGTTCTCCTCCCACCACGAACGCACAAGTCCCTGGAAGTTATCCACACGAAGCCACATACTCTCAAATCTGAAAGGAGTGCAACGAGATCTCAACCCTCCACAATCCAGAACCAAAGGAATGTGATCCGAAGTCACCCTAGTCAACACAGCCTGAACAATATCCGGGAACTTCTCTTCCCAGTCACCGGAGATCAAAAATCTATCAAGACGAGAGAGAGTTGGTATTTCCCTTCCACTGGACCAAGTGAAAGAAGCTCCCTCAAGAGGAAGATCAATAAGCTGATGACCATCAATAAAGTCAGAAAAGTGCATCATAGCCCGAGTCCATGCACCTTCTGAAGATCTCTCTGCCAGGAACCTCACCACATTAAAGTCACCTGCCACACACCAATGAAGAGACCACCTCTCTTTCACCCCACTCAACTCCTCCCATAAACCACCCCTCACATCATCATCAACTGGCCCATACACCCTAGAAAAGCTCCAAGTGAAACCATCCTCCTCCATCACAAAGGCACAAGATAGAGAAAAAATCTCTCGAAAAACATCCACCTTAGCCATTCATCTTCTATCCCACATAATGAGAACACCGCCTGAAGTCCCAACAGAATCCAGCGCCTCCCACTCCACAAACCGGTTACCCCACAAACTCTTCACCATCCGATCAGTCATAGAATCGATCTTAGTCTCTTGAAGACACACCAACTGCACCCCCCATTTCCTCACCGCCATCTTCACCACCTTTCTCTTGCCCGGACCATTGAGGCCACGGACATTCCAAGATAAAAGTCATAGCTTCATAAGGAGACATTCTCCCCTATCACCCCCTTACCCCTCCCTCCTCCCTTAGCACTCCCCTCTCCTTCCCCCCCTCAACCACCCTATCATAATTCACATCAGAAACCAGATTCCTAAGCTCCCTTTCCCATTTTCACGGAGAAATGTTTTTCTTCTTCCGACTCCTCCTTCTAGAAAACTGAATCATCTCCCCCTCTCTCCCCTCTGCAGTAGCCTAAAGAATTGCTACGGCCTGATCCCGATTGCCGTTGCAAGAGACACCCAGAAGTTCACTAGTAACACTAATATTAGCCTTGACCCATTCCTTTCCAGTATCCTCAGCTTTCTATCTACACACCTCACTGCCCAAATCCTCTGGAAGAACAATAGCCAGTGGGTCCACCACCCCCAAGTTAGCATGACCCTCCTCGTCCCACAACATTAGATCAAGAGACCTGCTCCCATCTCCCTCAACTCCCTTATCCACCACTGCTTCCTTCACATGAGAAGACCAGTCCTCACCATAGTTTGAACATCAGTTTGAAAGGGTCCAGATTGCAATCAATAGTTTGAACATCAGGCGAAAATCTGTGCCTCTGCAGTTCCTTTACCAAAAGAGAAGCTGATTCATCGCTAAGGGAAATACGGATGTCTTTGCCCACACAAACAGTCACCAAATCAGGCGCAGAACCCTTCCAATAAGTCATTGGGCCAAGTTTTAGAGGAGAACAAGACCCTGCCGATCCACTCAAAAAGAAGCTTGGCCGACCTGCCCATTTCCTCCCCTGAGGAATCATTATACCGAGACGTGGAAGAAAACTCCGAGCATGTCTCAGCAAACCTGGCACACAACTAGTTGAAATCCCTGTCTCCAGACAAACAAACCGTCCCATCCCTTTCTGATGGCCCAACATCCCCAAAATCAGAGCCAACCGTAGACCTCCTCACATCCACCGAGTCACCCTCTATAACAGGCGACAACACCTGCTGCCTCCCAGCAAAATCCTCCTCCCCCTTGCTTCTCAACAACTCACTAGAAGGAATAAAAGAAGAGATAGAAACTGATGGAGCGTTCCGGACATGAGAAAAAGACGACTTACCTTGGCACGGATAAGAATCCTTACGGGCAACCCACTTCTGTTTGTCCTTTCTGGTCCATTTCTTTCTAGAATGCTTCAAAAGATTCCGAGAGAGACCCTCCTCCTTCATGGCCTCAAAATCACCATTATCTTCTTCACCCAAAGACCCAGACTGTAGAGGATCAAATCTGTTACCCGAGAGCCGATTCTGACAACACGAACCATGCCGGAAAGACTTCGGACAAACCCCATCCCCTTTCGTCATGCTCAAACTCACCTTCGCCCAGTTCGTCTTTTCACTCCTCGACCAAGACCGTGATGCCGAGCTTCTCTGAGATGTGTCCGGATAAGAATCTTGAAAAAAATGGCTATGATACATTTCTGAAATGGGCTGCCCACCTTGAAATGAAATTGAGAGGTTTTTATTTGGGCCCCATTTAACCACCCTCTCCTTAGCCAATCTTGGCTTAACCTAGGCTGGTCCAGTAACAACAAAAGGCCCAGCAAGCTTGAGGCGTCCATCCCTTTTAGCGGGCTTTGAGGGCCGCCCCAGCCCAGAAGGAAGCCTAGAACCACCCCCCTCATGCTTTTCCTTGCCAGGCCTTTTTGAACCTTTAACATGAGACCCACGTTAAAGAAGCCCAACCTCATTAGGCCCAAAAGAATTAGAATTCAAAAAACGCCGAGAGTCACGAGGCTCAGCACGTGGAGGGGCAGCTGTCTTCCACTCACAACGGTCGTCGTTCCTCCTCCGACCACGTGTCACATGAGATGCCTTCCCATTGCCACTCGCTTGAGGCGCGTGGTGTCTCCCACGTCCCTGACCTTGAGTCTGGCTGTGCTGCACCTCCGCCTTTTGGATCTCCGACTTTGATCTACCTCCACCACCAGATCTGCGAACCAAACGGGAGGCAGCCGACACCGCCGATGATCCCAAATCACCATTTCCAGCATAAGTCCCAGTCAGCGGGACCATGGTCGGAGCAATTTCTTTAGATAACGAGATTCTAAACGCCCACTGACCATCCTCCACCACAATACTCGTCGGAATCACACCACCGTCAGCCACAGTGATCACAATCCTTTCTGTGTCGCTCATCTCAAA